AGTCTAACTTATTATTAAAATTGAATTTATTGAATAACCCTTCTCACTTGTTGTTTCTCTTGGGCCTACTACCGTTATTAATGTTTGCACTTCAATGAGCTTGTGGTCCGAGTACGTAGTGTCTGAGACAGTAATGTCTCTGATTAGCTCCTCATTGTTCGTGAATATCAGGTCCAGCGTGTTTTCGTTCCTAGTTGGTTCTGTAATCTGCTGACTGAGTGAGAATTTGTCACAGAATCTCAGTAGTTCTCTGACCTGTGGTTGGTTATTTCCAGGTTGATTTCCTGCTATAATGTTATTGTTTACTATTCTCCATTTTAAACTGGGTAGATTGAAGTCTCCAAGGAAGATGATATCTGGTATTGGGTTTGCTAGGTTATCAAGGATATTCTCTATTTGTGGATCTGTTCAGTGAATTCCTTAATTGTTGCATCTGGCGGTTTGTATATTAAAATACAACTGGGAACAGTGGCCAGCTGTACGGTCCCTACTGGGACCATTTTCTCCACTTTGCGATAAGTACCCCTCATAAAGTTGAACAAATAAACATATATATAATATTATAAATATACTGTATATATATATTATATATACATATATATAATATTATAATTATTTTCATATAATATTATAAATAGTAAAATTACTAAAGTTAACAAGGGATAAATCGACAATAAATCACAAATAAAGGAACAGACAACCTCTACACCACAAACCCAACATGGAGACGTGTGGCAGTTGTTTTAAGTCACTTGGGAAGAATGTTGTAAGGATTGTATGTAACGTTTGTAATATAAGATTTCACCTGAGTTGTACAGGATTACCTACACAATATGCAAACAGACAAGGTAACTACTGGATCTGTCAAAATGATAGATGTGGGAAAACATCACCAAACTAATGAATGACATTCCTGAAGTACATAGGCTAAAATTCACACAAAAGCTACCAGAAATATATGCAGAGTATGCAAAGACAGCAACGACCACTGAACACAACCCAGGGACTGAGAGTTTAGAGAGCCAAATTTGCAATGTAGAAGGACATTGTGTTGAGGTACACAAAAATGAAGGCAATATTGAAGAGCAAACTGGTAATATGAATAAGGAGAGAAAAAATGAGATGGACGAGAACACAAATCAGAAAGATGAAAGCAACAAGTAGAAAGATATGGGCAATACCGAGAAAGAATGCGAAAACGAGAAAGTTGGAACAAAAAACACAGAGATAGATAAGTTGTGCACAGCTACAAACAATAAGAATACAAGCACAGATGAAAATATTTGCATATATTATGCAAAAGGACAGTGCACATTCATACATCCCCAGAAATGCCAAAACATGTTAGGGAAAGGCAGATGTCGTTTTGCTACAGACTGATAGATATTTTCACCCTAAGCTTTGCAAACTCTCAGTTTATGACAGGAAATGCTACGATCTTCATTGCCCTGATTTCCACGTGAGAGGTACACAGCGCTATATAAGAGAGAAAGTCCAATATAATAGCCCTGGAAATTTTTTAGAGGCAGGCAGAACCAGAGGAAGGAACAGACAGGCAGAAACATTGCAGGAGTACAGATGGAGAGGGGAAAATGCCCAAGACCGGACTACAATTCATCATCAAGACCACACATATTACACCTCCCAACTACACAGAAACTACCACACTCCCCAGTACCACTTCCAAAACTGGACAAACAATTTGCCAGAACAACACACCCTGGGTCAGGGTGGAGAGGGGAGAGAACTACCAAAACCTTCCAGAAGTGACATACAATATGGAAAATCATTCATATTTGCAAACATACAAGGTTTAAAGTCAAAATTAAGAAATAAAGTTAAGTTTATAAATGGCTTCCTATTAGAGTCATACTCAATATTTGGGGCATTCACGGAAACTCATAAGAAAGATTACATGGATAGTGAAATCTGGATTCCAAATTATAATTTACGATAAAAGTTACAGTGTTACAGTGATAGTGTTCTCTTCGTATCGGGGTCCCTGCGTGTCCCTTGATCAGGGGTATATTTTTGTCCATGTGTACCTCCGTGCGTTTGTGCTTGCTTGTCGTGGTTCTCGTTGGTTCTCACATCTCTTCGTACCTTCCAATAGTATTGGAACGTCTGTTGACTTCTGATGTGGTTTCCCTCTGATCTTTTGTCAGCCTTGTTGGTTACCTTCCTTCCTCTGTTTTCTTTCACTTCGGTTTTGTCTTGTTTTGTTTTCACGTTTTCTCTACTTCCAGTTTCGACATTCCTCGTCTTCATTACGTACGCCTTCCTGGTGTTTATACGATGTGTGTATTCGATGTGTCTGTACGTTATGTGTATGTACGATATGAGTCCGCTTGGCGTATGAGCCATGCCACCCGGTGGATGGGTGGTGCGTTCGTACCTCGCACGCTGGGGCCGGGGTGTGTGTTTTGTTTATGGGTGGTATGCTCGTGTTTTACGCATCGTTTCTCGCGGTTTTCTACGGCTTCTTGCTCATTTTTTCCCTCCAGTTGTAGCCCTCTGGATGCTGGGGGTGTTCTGGGTTTTATATATAGGGGCGTCATATCGTTCTTTCCTCAGCTTCTGGGTGTGGGATGGCTCGGAGTGGCCCCTCCTCCTCCCCCCTCTGTACTGCTCCTTGTCTTCTGTAGAGCGCACCCCTCTGGACATATTTCTCTGTAGACTTCCAACTTTTATTCAGGTAACGGTACATACAATGCCTAATGCCTCTAGTATGCATGGCATTCGAGCGCACCACTAGCGATGGTCCTGGTATGTTACTTGGCTCGCCTGTGTTGTGGCACGCTCGTGTGTTTGCTCTGCAGGTGAGATTGTCATGTCTGGCGCCTCTGTTGGCCAGGTGCTGGTTCTCAACTTTTGGTTGGGTGCTTGCCGTGTTGTGTTTGCGGGGGTTGAGCTCTGGCTTTTTGGCCCCGCCTCTCTCCTGTCGGTCGACGGTTGTGCAATTTCCAGAGCCTCCTGGGCTCTGTCTTATCTGCGTTTGCTCCTGTGGGTGGAGTCTGCCTCCACCATGGAGCTTCCTAGTGCTTACCGCTTCCTATCTCTTCTGACATTGATCAGGTTCTTTTTCATGTCTGTGGCTCCTTTGGGTACTCAGCTTCCTCCTGTGTCCCTTTGTGCATACGAACATAAGGACATAAGAACAATGGTAACTGCTGAAGGCCTATTGGCCCATACGAGGCAGCTCCTATTTATTACCACCCAATCTCACTCATATACATGTCCAACCCACGCATGAAACAATCGAGGGACCCCATCCTCCACCACGTTATGCGGTAATTGGTTCCACAAATCAACAAACCTGTTACCGCACCAGTATTTATTCAAGTCTTTCCTAAATCTGAACTTATTCAATTTATACCCATTGTTTCATGTACAAAACGTGCCACAAAGGTGGCATGTGCCACCTTTGGTCACTGCTCCATCCTTGTTTACTCTGTCTCTTCCCCGCTTGGCGGGGTTGCGTCGATGGCTCCTAACAGGGGTGTTTGGGGTGGTGTCTTGTGTTTTATTACTTTGCATGTGCCTTCAGTGACTTTCCTTTGTCATGTATATTGTTCTTTGTTGTCCTGTGGGGCTCTGCCCCACATTTTGGTACTTTTGGTTTTGTTTGTCAGCACCTGGGTCTTTTCCCTATCTGGACACTCATTCCTTGCCTATCTTCGGTGCCTGGCTGCACCCTGCTGTCCATGAGGTCCCTCGGGTATGTACGCCCTCCTCTACATATTTTGTGGTTGGTCGTGTGCATTACTTCCCGGCCGCTCCTTGGTCCGTATTCGGGGTTTTCCTTGCCTTTTTCCGTTTTTCCTCCTCCTATGCTACACTTGTCTGTGTATCTGGGTTGGAGCTTATTAACTATCCTGATGTTGGGTGCTCGGGTGGGCCTCTGTCCATGTTCAGTTCCCTGCTTTTGGACTTCTCTGGTGTTCCGTTTTGGTGCTGAGTTCCTACGATTTTTCTTTGTGACTTACTGCAGGCTTCGGTGTTGCACTGTCTGTGGGGCTTGTGGACTTTCGGTCCGCCGCTCCTGCCTTACTGGTTCCTTTTCTTGGAATCGGTAGCTGGGTTCCGGTCCTGGCTCCGGTTTTTCTTTGTTCCTTTTCTGGAACGGGTGTGTTTGCTTTCCTACGGTTCACGTCCTGCGTAGTTCTCCTCTTGGATGCCTCAGGGACGCGTGTGTCATTCTTCCCTGCTGGAGCTGGTTATGTTGCTCCTTTGGGTTGTGGGGTCGCTGTTTTTCGATTCGCATTTTGCATTTACGTTCATGGTGCTCGTTTCTCATTGTTTGTGTTGGCACTGGTGGGTTCGTTGTTGGTTTCCCACATGTGTGTTTCATCTCGGGGGCGGTGTGTGGTTTTCCTGGCGGTCCTTTCTGTTTTCCTATCACTGCGAAGGGTCCTTCAGTCTCTGATTCTCTTGACTCTCTGATGATTGGCTTATCTTCCCTTCGAGGTTGTTCCGGGTCCGTCGTCTGGGACCGTGTACTGTCACCTCGTATTGGGTGGTGCTGGCAGAGCCGCTCTAGCTTGCGTTCGGTGCTGCGGTTCCTTCTGCTCCGTTCCGCTTGCGATCCTGAGCGTTGGTTTCCTTCTGGCCTGCTCTTTAGTTATGGTGCCATCCTGGTCGTTGACCTGGGTGGTCTATTTTCTTCTCGTTTTGGTCTTTGGGTTGCTGCATGCATTGCTAAGCCACAGCAACATATGGCCAAGTACAGTTAGTATAAGATAAGAATGTAACAGTTGAAGTTAATGGAGTGCATGTAAGCAGTTTGTGTTTAATAGAAAGTGTGCTATGTAAGCAGTATAGAACTTTGTACAATACAGTATTGATATCAATGAATTGATAATGGTATTTAGTGAAATTAAGTTTATGAAAGGAATATTTTGTAAAGATTTGTGGAATACTTTCATTATTTTTTCATATACAGCTGTAGAAACCTTACATGGAATGTTTAGATGAGCTGCTAATTATGAACTGTATTTCAGATGAGCAAACAAATGGCCAAGCAGTTCCCCATGGCTGGGTTATGTGAGCAGTTCCCAGTGGCTGGGTCGTGTGAGCAGGTGCAGGTACTGACTGACCAGGTATGGTAGTGTTGCTACTATCCTAAAATATTTAGTGATAATAATGCAATATACAGTACAACCTCGATTCAACGTACCCCGATTCAACGAATCTCCGGCTAGTTCACACACTTTTAGGCCGGATTTACTCACCCGGTTCGCCGAAGCGGGGAATGTTCGGATTTGCTTACGATGTCGAGACAGAGTTCACAGACTGGTGGAAAACTTTCCCATTATATCACAGATTACAATTAATAATTCGCTCATATGAGAAGTTCGATCACATAAGTGGACCACACAAGTGGACCGTACAAGTGGTCCACAAGCTTAGGATGTTGGGACAGTTCACAGAGTGGTGGAAAACTTTCCAAATCCATCACAGGTTACAATTAATAATTCCTTCATATGACAAGTTGGGTCACACAAGTGGACCACACATGTAGGCCACACAAGTGGACCACACATGTAGGCCACACAAGTGGACCACACAAGTGGACCACAAGTGGGTCCATAAGCTTATGATGTTGGGACAGAGTTCACAGAGTGGTGGAAAACTCATTCTATCTACAATAATTCCTTCATAAGCCAAGTTGGATCACACAAATGGACCTCATAACAAGTGAACCATATGAACCAAACACAAGCCAGAAAGGTCCACATAACAAGTAAAGCATATTAACCAAACACCTGCCAGAGTGGTCCACACAAGTGAGCAACTGAGTTTCAATGACTTTCGTTCACTGATTCGTGCACACGTATCTTTGTCAATTAATTTAAAGGCAGAAGCGTGAATAGCTAGCTAATGTGTTGAAAATCTTCTTATATACATTTTCTGTGATGAAAGAAGATGGGTGAGGGTGGACAGATAAGGGAATACTGTACTGTAAACCTCACTTTATAGTGTGGTTTCATTCACTTTCGTCTGTGTCGTTATAGTTCAGTAACCCATGACTTTGAACGTTTCAGATTAATAAATCATTTCTGAAACTGGTGTTTTAATTACTTATTATCCTAATTAAACTAAACTAAATAAAACCAAAAATATACTGCAATAAGATAGATATCTGCTATTTGAGAAATTATTCATGTTATTGGACGCTCTCAAGTCCAGCGTGAGTGGACAGGTCTAATCCGTGTGCACACACCATGTTTGTTTTGTTCGATTTCGTCGCTATAGTTCAGTGACCTATGGTTTCGAAATAATAAAATTAATAGATCAGTTCTAAAATATTTTTATAGCTCTTATTCTCATAATAATGTTCCTAAACTAAATATATAACTTAAAAATATATAATTTGATGTAAATCGAATATTTGAGAGAAATTTATGTTACTGGATCTGGCTTAAACACTAGCCTACTGTAGGGTGTACGTATAGACCTAGTCTGCATTCGTTCAGTATGCACCCAGTGCCCTTAGTTTTGTCTGTGATTAACGTACAGTATTTAACCACCGGTGGAAGAATAATTGTGGAATTTACCATTTTTGGACTACAGCTGTATTGTTATACAACAAAATGTCTCAGGGGCTTACTAATAGTGCCTTATTAATGCTAAAAATGAAGCAATATTTTGCAAGAAAATCATCCAACATGAAAACAGTTGTACCCAGCATGAGAACAGCCGTACCTAGCACGAGCATAGCTGTACCCAGTACTGGTACAACAGCAGCCAGCACCAGCTCGAAAGCAGCTGAAGCCATAGCAGCAGCAAGCACCAGCAAAGCTGATGCAAACATCTAAAAACATCGTGTGTGGCGTGAACAGACAGAACAAGTGTTAAATTTAAGTGTGTACATAGTGTTAAAATTAAAGTTGCAGTAATTTTAGTGTACAATAGTTTTCATAAACTCTATTGTAGTACTGAACATACAGCAGAACTACTTAAAACACAGTGTTAACAGTGTAATACACTACAGTACGTATTTACTGTACAGCATTCACAACTCCATGATATATCAAGATGGACATAACTCCAACAATAAGGTAAATAACAAATGTAACACAGTATTTTTTAGTAGGGTAATAATATATAGGTACAGTATATAATATGATAATGCATTTTTATTGTGTACAAGAAAAAAAAAGGCACTGACTCAAACGCCTCCTGAAGGTCACCTCTTGCAATGAATCCAACGCTCCAACGAACTGGGGTTGGTCCCATATAGTACATTGAATCGAGGTTGTACTGTAATAGCATTATGGGTGTGAGATGCTCTAGCGATGTGAATACAGTACCGTATTTGCCAGCGTAAAAGACGCACCCTCGCATAGGACCCACCTCTATTTTACAAGGATATTAAGTAGAAAAAATGTTTTCTATGTTTCATCATGCATTTATTGAAAGATATTTTAAAGTGGATTTTGTACCACAACTCTTACCTCCTCTAAGATCAGCTGTGGTGTAGTTGTTTATATATTGGGCAAGAGAATTACTATACAGGATGTGAAACTTATATTTCTGGATGTGATGTTTTGTGTTGCTGCATCAGGCCACCAGGGCGGCACACTTGGCAGTGGCGCATCATTATAGCGCTCTGGTGGCGTTGTCATTCACACATTGCAAATAGCTGACAGGCGGATGAAAATTTAATCACTCCTCTCAAATTTCTAGGAGCATTTTTTGTTTAGATAATGAATAAATGTGTCTTAAAGGTAACACCAATGTTAAATAATGTATAACATATCAGATGTGGATTATGTATACTGGGTAAGATGACGTGAGCTTCCTTCATAACTGCCGACACATCATAAGTCTTGTGATAACAGACGGTTTTATTATTAGCAACGATTTTTGTGCCTAGCGAACTTACCCGGTATACTCATTCAGCTCCTCAGCCTATACCCCTCGGTCTCCCATCCATAATATGGATTCATTTTTGATACATTTAAAAATAAAAAAAAGTGCGTCATATATGCCGCCTACCCCTTTCATCCCCTCCCTCACCCTCTCTGAACCTCTCCCCCACACCCTTACTTCCTGTGTCCCCCCCCCTCCCCAAGACCCTTCTGGGAAATGGCTCAGTAGACTGCCAGCCAGCCAGAGACACCCTGGAGAATCTCCATCTAATACAATAAAGCATTCATGAAACAAGTATTTTATAACTTTTTATTATCCTAATAATATTACTAAACAAAATTTGTAAGCAAAATATATATATGATGTACATCCAGAATTTAGTTAAGAAACATCTGGTTAACTGGGTAAAGTATGTTAGGCTCATCAGTGAGCCGGTCCTTTCCCCACCATCGACACACCTCCCTCCCACCCCCCACCCCATACTTCCCACACACACACGCTGTCTGCTTCACCTCAACAACCATAGCTCCATCCATCTCTCCCTCCCTCCATCAATCCATCCATCCATCCATCCATCAATCCATCCCTCCATCCATCTCCATCCTACCATCCATCTCCATCCTCTCCCTCCCTGCCTACCACCCAGCCTCTGCCTGCCTGCCTCCCTCCCAACCTCTGCCTGCCTGCCTCCCTCCCTTCCAAGCTCTGCCTGCCTGCCTCTCTCCTTGCCTCTCCCTCTGTGCCTACCAGCCAGCCTCTGCCTGCCTGCCTCCCTCCCAAGCTCTGCCTGCCTGCCTGCCTCCCTCCTTGCCTCTCCCTCCCTGCCTACCACCCAGCCTCTGCCTGCCTGCCTGCCTGCCTCCCTCCCTCCCAAGCTCTGCCTGCCTCCCTCCTTGCCTCTCCCTCCCTGCCTACCACCCAGCCTCTGCCTGCCTGCCTCCCTCCCTCCCAAGCTCTGCCTGCCTGCCTGCCTCTCTCCTTGCCTCTCCCTCTGTGCCTACCAGCCAGCCTCTGCCTGCCTGCCTCCCTCCCAAGCTCTGCCTGCCTGCCCATCCACCCACCAGTCAGCCATCACTGACACCACGAGTGCATTTGGAGCCGACATGGTGCACGGATGTTCCTTGATTGTGCAGATATGTCCAATAAAGTCAAGGAATGAATACTCCAGCCTCATTACAAATCAAAACAATGTGCTGTGAATCTATGACGTCACAGGGTAGAAGGCACTAGAGTAGTGGACCCAGTGGCTCTCTGTATAAAATATATCTTACCTGAATGTTACTTGAAAAATTACCGACACTTATCTTCGGAAATACCGGAGCTCTGGAAATAATGACCTGGGTACAACTTCATATAGGCCGTTAAATCGAGTGGATACTATATGATTCTCATTTTCTGGGGCAGATTTGTCAAGTACGCCATCCTTTACAGGATCAACTAAAATAATTTTAACTTAAGTGTTATTAATATAGCAACAGCAGTATTTTTATTTTTGCATGCTGCATCAAAAAATTTAAGGGTGATGTGGGAAGCTTTCCCACAGGTGCGGATCCACGAGGCTCTGTGATCCAGCTCCATCAGACTGCTTCCTTGTGGTTCATTGTTTGAACTGGTGAGGGTCGCTGCAGTCAGTGGTTTTTTGGAGCTGGTCACCCTTCTGTAAGAGCTACTCTCTAGGTAGCTCTTCTGTTGAGTTCTCGGGGTTTAGCTCTCCGTACTGTTCATGTTTAGGGAGTGTCCAGTGTCCTGGCAGATGGCCTGTCTCGCTTCATTCATCTTTCCACTGATTGGATGGTCGATGCCGCTTCCTTCCTTTGGCTTTGCCGGATGTACAGGTGCCCAGAGGTGGACTTCTTTGCATCTTCCTGTGTACATGGCACTGTGCCCCAACTGTGATTCTCTTGCGGTGAATGCTTTTTGGCAGGACTGGTCGAGGTGGGGATTTTTGTAACTTTTTCTGCCGGTCCAGCTGTTGCTCTGGGTTCTGGCTTGGCTCGAATCGTATCAAGGGAGGGTGATTCTTCTGGCCCACGGTAGCTGGCCCAACCTTGGTTTCAGGCGCGGCTTACTCAGTGATTGAACCCGCGGCTTCGCCTCTTTCAGTTGGTTGGGCCGGTGAGGTACCTTGCTGGTTAGAGTTTCTCCTCTGTGATTGGTGTCTGGTCTTTCTGGCATGTGTCACCATTTGTTTGATGTTCAGGTGGCTTCTTTGATGGTATCCCAC